TCTCCCACTTGTTTAGGACAGATGGGAGAGGCAGGGATTCTGAAGTGATGGAGTTTGAGGGTAAAAAATTATTGTACAAACTGTCACAGAGCGTGGGCTTTCACAGATCAGCTATTTTTGTTATTACTGACATGCATCCGTTATATCAGGAAGTCAGTATCAGGGCAGATGTGGATGAAGTTTATATTTCTTTGTTCATAAAAGCTGTGAAAAATCACAGGGAAATTAGCAGAGTACAGTACATGTGGAGACCTGAAACTCAAGGGCTGAATCAAATTACTGAATTTATTTAGCCTGATGAGCAAAGTGTACCTGTCCACAGAGTCTAATCACAAGGCACTGATTTTCAAAGGCCCTTTTGTTCCACTTCAGAGGAGTTTGAAAATAAAAATAAACATTAGTGAATATTCAAAAAGGCCCAAGAAGCTAAATGCCCAAGAAGAGTTTAAGATCTGCTGACTTTCAGTGAAACTGGGGGTCTGGTTTGAGGATAACTCTCCTCACAAACACCACAGAAATGAAGTGGCTGAAGGAATGGCTTGGGCTCCAGTTCTTTACAAATGCAAGCAGAGCCAAAATGTTTGAGAAGGCCCAGCCTGAGGAGCTCTTTGCCATCATTATTTCCTCTGAAAGTCTCTTTGTTATACATGCCTGCAAGTCCTTCTAGGAATCTGCCTGGTCTCTTTCTCCTGGTTCTGTAATGGACTGTACAAATGAAAAGTAAATAATTCCAGGACAAAAATTGAACTATGAACTTCCATTTCACAAACCCGGAGACCTTATGAGTTCAAATGAGAGTAAAGGCAATAGGACTGGGAGATGATCTGGGACAGTCACCAGGCAGTCATTTAAGTATATTTTAACAGCCTGAGATTAACAGAGCTTCTGGCCATAACTGTATGACTTCCAGGACTGAGAAGCTTTTTTGTAGTGTAAGTGGTTTATAGACCTGAACTTGGGGATAGTTTTTGAGATTGATCCTGATGGTTAACTTAACAGTAGAATACCTTCATGTCAGTTTTTCCTGCTATTTCCTTTGATTTTTCTACATGTAATATGTATTAATTTTAATATAATCAATAAGCATTCATAGAAGTAATGACACTAAATAATCCTGCACATGACTCAGGGTGTCTTCACATTGATAAAGGAAGCTTGAATATGTTCAAGTTCAAACAGTGAATTATCTTTTTTTACCTATAGTTTGTTTTTCAGAAGTATACCTGAACTATAGCTTTCCTAATGCAAAAAAATTGGAGCATTGTCCCTGTTTGCCAAAACTACCTCCTCTAACTGAACTTGCTCTTTACCAAGTGCAAAGTGAAGCAAGGTAGGACTTTGCCACCTCAATTATAAAAAGCTGTAGCCGGACAAAAGTCTGATTTCTTCTCTTACAAGAAAGACATGATCTGAGTTAAAACAGAGACTTTGGAAATGATTCCTCCAGATGCAGACTTGCTCTTCTTGCTGGTGCCAGGAGGATGGGATCTCTTGGATGATACCATTGGTCAGCTCTGGGCGCTACTGGTGATGGAGCCAACACAGGGAGTGGGAGTTTTTGGGGCTCTGACAGAAGCTGGGAGCAGGGACATAGATATTGCTGCCCTTCCTGGTTGCCCCTGCTTGAAGGATTCCCTACTCCATTTTTGCCTAGATCTGCCCCTGCTCAGGTGGCACAGCACCACTGGAGCGCTGGATGCTTTTCCACTGAGGATGTAGAGACCCTGCTTAATTTTAATTGGCACTCAGCAGTGGTTCAGCTCAATAACTCAATGCGCCATGACAACTGAGACTGTTGGGGGGCAACAGTCTCAATGATCAGGTGTGAGAAGGACAAGCTCAAGGGAACAGCCCTGAAAGAGTACTGCTAGCTTCTCATCTGTATCCTTTCACAGCGCAGAACATGGGTTGTAGACATCAGTGACTGTCAGGGTGGGAGTCTCACCCAGACAGAGTTTTGCCAGGAGCTGCATTTCAGGCTGTAAGTTAATGAACAAGAAGCATTTTTGCACAGGAGAAACTCCAGACTGAGACATGCCTTTGGCAAAAGAATTGCATTTCTAGAAACACTGGATATTATTAGACTGTCTTTTGAGGTGGTGCTTTTTCTTTCTGTTTATGTGCAAAAATCTCCCTGCTGCTGAATTAGTTTGCTCAATGGAAATCTTATCAAGTCTGAGGAGCTCTGTGCAACTGAGCAAGAAGCAAGAAGGATGTGAAATACACTGAGAATTCTGGTTACAACTAATATTTAACATGTATTTATAAAGGGAAAAGAGGTTATGTAGCAGATTCCTACTATCACATTGGCTAAATAGCTATGCAAATGTCTTGATTTCTCCCTAATGCTCATGTTTTGCAGAAAGCCTCCCAGGGTGTTAATACCCCAGGTGATGTTCATTTACATGAAATGAAATACACAGAGGAGCGGGAACGATGGAAAGATTTTACTGGCACAAATGTGGCAATGAGCAAGTTATATGGGTCAGCACAAAAGAGTACAGATAAAATTTTTATATCACAAGATTATGTGTTTCACAAATGCTGGGCATGAAAAGGGAAAAAAACAATCTCAATTTTTGTAGAGCATTTAAAAATTATTGAGGATAATGGCTGTGAGTTTTTGTTTTTCAAGGATAGCAAATATTCAGACATCTTAATCACAAAGTATGAGATCTTGAAATCTCATTGAAACAATCAGCAAGATTCTCACTGGCCTTAATGAAGATGGGATTTCATTCAACTGGCCAACTATAGGAGACTCAAATAAGGGAAAAATAATAATCAACGCATTGTAGAAACTGATGGGGGTTTTTTCTCTCTTAATATGCAGACCTGTTTTGTTCACCCCAATGCTTAATTCCAAGACTACCTCAGACTAAAAAGGATGATTTTTGTGTCCTTTTGAGATGCTAGGAGTATTTCCAACAGAGAAAAAATATAGCTTGAATGAGAGGCAAATCACAGGATCAGAGATTGGTTGGGGCTGGAAGGTGCTTCTGGTGACTGTTGTCTCCAGCAACCCTGCTCATGCAGGGCCACCTACAGAGCATTGTCCAGGACCAAGTCCAATCAAGATTTGACAGTCTCCAAGAATGGAGACCCCACCACCTCCCTGGGCAATCTGTGCCAGTGCTCGGTGACTCTGACAGTAAGAAAGAGTTTGCTGATGTTCAGAGGGAATGTCCTGTGTTTCTGTGTGTGTCACCCGCTATCACTGAGAGGTGCCTGTCTCCATCTGTCTGTTACAGTTGGTTTAATAGGTAGGGTGGAGTTTTCTAAATCCATTGGGGAAGGGCTGTCCCATGATGCAGACTGCCAGGGCACTTGTCACTGGGTCTATGGTCTTTCACTTTTCCTGAGGAGTTGTTCCTAGCCACCTAAAAGTGAAGAATTTGACCACTGCTGAAGATGCCTGTAAATCACACCCATGCTGCATGTATGCATGCAATTAATATGTTAATTAAAAAAAAAAAAAAAAAGAGCTGTTCAGGGTTCTTGAGAGTTTAAAATAAAAATATTTGCCCAAATGAGACTCAACACTTTCAAAGAATGGTTTCCTTTTGGTTTCAGTTCTTCATCTTTCACAGACCTCTATTATGCCCAATATCTGCCATTTTGAAATCTGTGACTTGTCCAAATTTGGCCATCTCTATGTATTGACTTTGAAAGACATGCTGCGACAACATTAAAAGAGAAAATCATAGAACCATGAAATGATGTGAGTTTGAAGGAACCTAAAGATCATCTAGTTCCAAAACCCCTGCCATGAATAGGGAGACTTTTCACTAGACTGGATTGCTGCTGCCTGCTGGGATGAACTAAAGCAGGATGGAGCCTGTGTCCCTGTGTGTCTCTGCTGCTCGGAATGCATTGTAAGCAAGACAATGAAATAAATACAGTCTTTGCATTTCAGCTGTGGTTTGATGGTTGCCTTTGTTTTCCTGTCTGTGCCAATTCGCTCAGCATTAACCTGGCCTTGAACACTTTCAGGAATGGGGAATCCATCACTTCTCCAGGCAACTTGTTCCAGTGCCTCACCATCCTCAAAGGAAAGCATTTTTTCCTAATGTCTAACCTAAGCTTCCCTTTTTCATTTTTAAAGCCATTCCCCCTTGTCCTATCACTTCTTGCCCTTGTAAAATCTTATCTAAACTTATGGAAACCATCGTGAAAGTGCTGGCCTCCTTAAAACATTCTTGCATTGTTTTCCTGGATTTGAACTACAAAACATAAGGAAAACCAAAGAGGGAACAGTTATTCTATTTACTGTCAAGAGTGTTCAAAATGTTTTTCCTAGTAAGTTTCTCTCTAAAGTTTAAGCAGGAGGTTACACTAGAAAAGACCTTACATCTTTGCCATGTTGAGCAGACACTAAAAGCAAAGATTAAATGGAAAACACATCTTTATATTAATTATAGATGGCTAGTGTTTCTCAGGACCTGAGGGAAATAAACAAAAGTTCTCAGATCCTGAGAGTTTGGAGTGCACTGCTTTAAATCAGTAAGTGTAGACAATTTACATGCCTAACATGCCACATATCAGCATGAAAACATTTGTCAGAAACTGATGAATGAAACAAGAAGAATAATGAAGAAAAATGACACTATACAAACCGTCCAGAGAGCAAAATAAACAATGTAAGTGTTTGGTAAATAAATCCCTGCAGAACTCTTAGAAATGAGTCACTGATTAATTGAATCAATCCATCAACCTTTTGTGATTACATCAATATGCAATCCCTTTGATGTTTGTACTTCTTCCATAGCTACTGTTTTAAATGCCTTTAAAATGTAAAATAAGATATAATATGTCCATATGGAGCTACCATAGATTAATTGGATATCCTAGTAAGATATAGCTGGCTGATTCTTTTACTTAATTCTTATATGTAATGCTGTAAATAACTGTATCACCTTCTCCTTTTTCTGAATTTTTTTTGTCACCCACTTCTTTGACTAACTGAAGTTTAACAGCGGGGGGGGGAATGTGAGATCATATTTTTCTTTTTTTTCCTGCTTGAAATGTTCTCATTAACTTGCTTTATTTATCACATAAATCCTTTGTAGAAAGGACTGTCTTATTTACTCTATTCATAGATTGCACCATGCTTGTACATCCAGTAATTATCAGAAATAATAATTTTTGTATACCAAATCCCTGTCTAGAAAATAAACACATAGGACTTTTAATATCTTGAGAGGAGGGACAGGAAAAGCTAAGCAGAAAAGGTGAGAGACTGTGTGTGGTTATGTATCTCCACCATAAAATATAGCCACATAACAGGTGTGTGTGTATGTGTGCATGTATGTGTGACTGAGTGAACTGAGCCAACATTTACCACAAATGCACACAGATGCATCAATATGGAGAATACTATGCAAATTAAAGCAATTTCACATATTTGTGTGCTCTCCTAGGAACAAAATATTCACCTGCATGCAAAGAAATCAACTATCTAAATGTTTGCAAGGGGGAAAAACACAATCCTGAGAAAATTCTTGGAGAAAAGGAAACGTGAATCTAATCCAGTAAATGTGTTCACAAACATTTTTTATTAATTTCTTCTAATTCACCTGTGCCTTTTGTAGCTCTGGATATTTATGACTTTCTCTGTACTTAGTGAGCTATAGCTTTAGCAAATGGAATTATGATTCCAGCCAGGGCTTGCTGCGTCTCCTGGCTTCTGTAATGCTGCCAACCTTTACATTTGGTTAAATGTCTCCCTGTCTGGGGCTTTTTGAGAATGTACATAACCTTGTGCTTCCTCTTCTTGTCATTTTGCACCCATCCTCAGTGACACTCCTCCACGGCTGCCATTGCCACCTTTATGTGAGTTGGAAGCAATGGGCGTGACAAAGAGCAGTACGTAATTTTGGGAGGGTATTTGGGGCTGTGTTCAGGAAGAGAGACAGTGAGAATGGCATGAGAAGATGGTGACAGAGAGAGAGAAATTAACTAGGTGTGAAATGTCTGTGTGGCAGAACTGGGGGCTTTTCGAGAGCACATGCTGGATGTGAACATGCCTCTTCACCTTAAGCTCCCCATAACCTATTTCCCATCAGGACAAAGGCAAAGCTGGGAAAATGATAAGGTACCAGATGGCAATAAAGACCCTTTTCCATTGATGGATGGAGAAGCATGGCTTTTGTAGAGATATAATTTTGAATCAGAGATGACCACAAACATTATTTATTTTTTAATTCTCATGTTTCTCATGTTTCATAGTGCTTCTATCTATCCACAATAATAATCTCAAGGCAGTTGGAAGTCCCAAAAGCTACGTCTTCTACTCAACAGAGAGCAGAAAAATTGGTGTTTTTATTGGACTTTTTATTGAAAAATAAAAAGTGATCTTTTGTGATCTTGGCAGGATTTTGGAAGACACTTGTAAAAGACATAATCTGTTTCAATTGGTTTCTGAGAGATAAAGGAAAAGTGCATTTTTAAAAGACCCTTCTTTTGTACGTATGGAGAGAGATGTGCAACAAATGTATGCATGGTGCTACTTAGAACTTCACATTTGGTACAGTATCTTCCTAAACCACTCAGCTGTGCCAAGGTCTCAACTTTAACTAGCTGTAATTGCTTCTCTTGTTGAAGGTCTGAACAGAGGGACTTGTCAGGACATGAGATCAAACAGAGCTGATTTCTCCAATCCATGTCAGGAGATGAAGCATATTGGTGACTACAGGAGGAAAATCTCTTTTACTGATTCTGTGCTGTGCCACTTCTGTATGTGAATGAGTAATTGCAGTCTAAAGGGCAGTTTCTTTTATGCATTGTAATTGCATTTAATACTGCACATAGCTTGAAGCAGACCAATTAGCTTAACAACTGTCTTCATCTTTCTCCAAGGAGCAGTGGACGCAGTGCTGTCTGCAGTACTGCTATGTATTGGTTCTTCAACAACACCTGGCTTACCTTTAGTGTCTGCTGTCAATCCACACGTGCTGGGAAAAAGCCAGATTCAGAATAGCTAGGGAACAAATTCAAGAAGTCCATCACTTTCATCTCAGCTACTCACCAGTAGACAGTCAGCAAGCAATACATACACATAGACTATTAATGGGGCTATAGTATTTGCCTTTAAAACTAAAACAGAGGACTGGAAATGAAAATATTGCAAGGTGGAGTGATTCACAGTGTGGAGTTTTGCTTGGTCTACTATCAGTGTGCTCAAATGGAAGGTGAGCATGCCAGTGATGAAAGGCCTCAGACACTGAGTTAATGGCCATTCCTATCTGGAGACATCCAGCAATCAATAGATAACTGTGCGACACTTTATCAAAATGCTGTGCAGCAGTGGAATATTGTCAACAGTACTTAGATTTAGCAGGTGGAGCACAAACCATTTCTCCTTACCTGACTGAAAAGTATCACTTGCACTATTATGAAGACCTAAAAAGTCCTAACGAAAGAACTCTCTTTCTAAGGAGTCATCCTAAGAGAGCATGACTGAGTATTTCAAAATTTATATAATTCTGCTCCACCTTTATTAAATGACCTCAGGCAAGCTGTCAATATATGTGAGCTCTATAAACATTTTTCCTAAAACAGGATTCCATCATTCCAGTGTAGGGACAATAAATAGCATATAAAAGAATATGAATGCAGAGGAAATATCCATGTTACACAGCTCATTCTTAACAAGTATTATTTTTGCAATACTTAACACTGTTGGCAACTCTATACCTATCATGGGCTTAAAATTCCTGATGAGTGGGCAAAAACCAGTCCTGTTTTCTAAGTAGAGTCTGTTGCAGTCAGCCTTGTAAAAGAAACCTTTTAGTGTCAGTGATAATGAAAATACCTGGTACATATGACAGCGTTAAAATGGTGTCATGACCTGGCAATTTCTATTCAGGGCTGTCACATCCATGCACTGCACAGATCGGGATTGTCATCATGTAAATGTAATAGGATTCTTTATCCTGCATTGTTGCTCAGCTGGGAAGAGTAATTCTGAGTTTCCTGTAAGTTCTGAATAGCAGCAGGGGGCCATGAATAGCTTGGAAACCTATATTTTTCCATTTATTTTTTTTTAAATGCAAATTACACTAGTAAGTCAAAAAAATCACTTTTGTTAAAAATACATTCAGAATTAACAAATGCCAAAAAGAAAGGAAAAAAGACACATTTGGATTGTATCTCTTGCCTTCTGAATATTTTAGTTTATAACAAAAGCCCAGCCTAGAAAAATAACATTCTTTACTGGATTTTGAGGAGGATACAGCTGTACAAATCAAAAATGCCATCCAGATATTCTCACATTACTGTGCTCTAAACTGCTTCCAGAAGAGATCTGTCCACTAATCATTTAGTTGAGTAGTCAACAGTCCTAACGTTTTTAATGGTGGTGCTCTAACTGCAACTTAAGCAAGGTTATGAATACCAACTTCATATAGGTATGTATGTGTGTATATATATATATATATATATACTGTGTGTATGTGAGTGTGTGTATCTACTCTATATGTAATATATGAATACACATTTATATTGCAATCCATAGTAGTTAGATGTGCTTCCTATTTCCTAAGCATTTTACAAACATTAACAATTCAGACCTCACAAAAAGCCTGTGAGGCACATATTATTCTGTATTATGGATGGGAAGACTAAGACACAGAGAAATTAAGGCCAAAATTTTCTAATTTAAAATCAGGCCTATAAGCTACGTGCAGACACTTCATTAAATCGTCTGACTTCTAAAATTGCTAACTACCAGTAGCCGCTGTTCCATGGGAAATCACTGAAAGGTATGAAAAATTATCTTCTGAAAATTGGATTGCTGCTTAGGTGCCTAAACTGGTTTCTTTTCATGTTAAAAAATGATTTTTATAGAAATATCATTTTGATTAACTGGTATACAGGGAAAGATAAAATAACCTGTTATGACATTTTCATCCCATTTAAACCTCTTCATTGTGTTTAATACTGTACATCTGCTATATTTAAGATCACAGAAAAGTTGAAACTTTTTTAGTTTTGCAAGTTATGGGAAATTTCAGCCTGTCACTTGGAAGTTGCATGGGGTTTCCAAGGGTTGAAAAGCATCTCTACCCAGTAGGAACTCATATTTTCAGGTACTCAAGTATGAAAATTTAAATTTGAGATCCAAATCAGCAATGAATACTTTACAGGATCAGGCCTAGGGGACATTCATGTTTCATGCATGAAATTCCCAGCAGTATCTGAGATGGGAACCCTTGGTCCACTGCATCAGAATCTTCCTGGGTGATGCAGCCCCCAAAATAGTTAGTCCTGTGTATTTTATATACATAGACATACACACACCTCCACACACTTACATATATATATATCTATCTATATCTATATAAATCTCACTGAATCAATGTAGGTATAGTTCCTGAACATGTCCCGTGTCTTGTTTTCACTGGTGAATGCCTGTTCCTCTGTCATTGTCCAGAGTTGCTGCTTGTGACACTGTACATCCATGCAGACACAGCAAAGGGCACTGGCTTGTACAGGGATGGGTGAGTGGTGTGAGGCTGCTGGAGCAAGGGTTTGGCCAGCAGGGAAAAGGGACTTGCTCAGGGCTGCCTTGAGCATTTCCAAGCGCTGACCTTCCCTCTTGCCCTCAAAAGCTACATGGTCACCTCAGGTGTGGCAGGTGCGTGCGTTTGTCTATGCAAGGTCTGAGCAAAGAAACAATGACAATCCAAGTTTCTGAAAAACCTGAGCAAAATATTGGGTTTTCCTAGTGAAAGCCATCTACGTTCTTGAAAGTACAGATCAGATGTAGAATAAAACATATGTTCCTAGGAGTTCAGAGTATTTCATATACACATTGACCTACTAGCAAAATTCCCAAAGGCATCTTGTTGCCAACTACGTAACAGCACAGAGGGTTTTTTTTCAGCCACAATAATACAGGAAGATAAAATACACGTTCTAACACACGACAGATCCCCCAAATATACCACAAAAAGGTCTTCAGTATTTCTTCAACTCAACTAGTCCCTCCCTGCCCTCTCCAACCAAAATCAAGAAATAAAATATGTGGATCCCTTATGGTGCAATTAGGAAAAAAAAAAGCTCACTTACAGAGAATTTTTAGTTGAAATCAGATATAAAAGAGTAAACATAGATAGTACATATTCAGTTGGCCTTTGTTCATAGAAATCTGCAGATGTCTCTGTAGTTAGTAAAAGATGTTTAGAGATAGCTATAAAAGCACCTACAGTGCGATAAATAAAACCAGCGGGATTAAGAAGCACTGTTTCTGCTGCTTATTTCCAGTAGGTTCAATTATTAGTTTCTGTTACCCCTTTCCCCATCTTGACCCCAAAAGGTTCTCAGTTATTTCTTTATTTATTTTTCTTTTTAATCATTATAAACTATTTCTTGACCACTGTGGAGCCCCAAAAGTAAAGCACTTATCAGACAGCTGGCAGTTTTCTACTTGGTTGCTCTGGAGCCATGGAGCAACAGAGCCTTATTCCCTGACATGAAAACAAAGCAAAACCAAACAAAAGAAAACCACTGACTTAGAAATCGTTCAGAATTAACAGCAGCATGTTAACTTCAGAAAGCTTGCACGTAGTTTCTCTAATGTGCAACGCAGTTGGGTTAAGGCAAGTATGAACTGTACAGCCTTCAGGGCAAACAATGCGCTGTCTATTGACTTCTGCTGCAAGGTCATCCTGGTGTTTCAGTGTTGTTGACTGAGGAGACTCAACGCGGCCCGGAGTGTGGAGGAGGCTCCCACAGCACTGAGTGGGCTGGGTTCATGTCTTAATCCAGATGGGCCATGGTGGCGGTGGCCAAGGGAAAAAAAGGGGACAAAAGGTGGCACCAATGCCTCTGCTGTGTCCCTCTGGTGCTGAGAGGCAGGAGGTTCAAGGAGGGGTTCTGGGGCGTCTCCTTTAGTACCTGTTAGAAAGAGAGGCTGCAGGTCTCTGTTTTCTGTCTCACTGTTCAATCAGTTTTTATACAATATTTTTAGCACAAAAATGGAATTTCTTTTCTCTTTGAAGAACCAGGAGGCCATCCTGAAAGAGATTTTTGAACAGGTCCTCTAGCCCACCTTGAATAGTCCCCATATTTACTTTGACCTAGAAGAAAGACAGAGAAAGAACAATATTTATAATCCAGGATATACTTTTCTAATCCCTGCCCTGCTGCTCTGGTGCCCTTTTGCAAGCAAGTGTAATCCACAAACCAGTTCAGATACACGTGGGATGAAGAGGACAGAAAGACAAAGTGTTTACTCAAGTAACTGCCTTGGCTTTCTCTGGAACATTGTTAGAGAAGTCAGCACAAGTTTTCTAAACAATCTTAGGCAGGAGTTATATTTAATTATAATCTTTACTGTATGTCCATGGGTCAACTGGAATATGACCTGATTTATATAATCCATCAGATACGTAGCTGTCTTTGTAAAACCAAGAAGTGACATGGTATGAGGGCAGAAGGGCTGGATTGCAGGTGCAGGGGAAAGCTGCCCACAGCTCACTCACAAAGCAGAGACCCTGTGCAAGCGCCACAGCCCGGCCACCTTAACAGTATTGTCCCAAACCCATGTTTTGTAACTAAAGCTTTCAGTCTAAAATTGACAGGATGTTGTTTGTTGATAGTGAAAGCTCAGGTGGTAGGTTATTTAAATGTGTCTGAATCCCAAAACATGAGGTGATAATTACACAGAAGTTTGTACTGCGTGAACATGTGGAGTGTCATGGTGGTTATACTCAAGGTGCTAGTTTTAGTGTCTTTTTTTGTTTTGTGTTTCATTTATACTTTCAGTGAATGGTGAAGTAGGTAGCGCTTTCAGTTTGTGCAATTATCTAGACAAATGCCTATATGTGTGTGTGTGTGTGTGTGTGTGCGTGCAGGAATACAGATACTGCAAATATTCTTAGGCTTCACAATAGGAGGAAAGCATGCTTCACTTCAGGGCTGCACTGCTTTTGAGCAATTTCTCCAGTGCATTAGGCATCAACATCAGACATGCATGGGGTTTTTTTGCTTCACTTCTTCTTTTCTCGAACAAACAAGTTCAATGTGAAGAACATAAAGAAAGATCTCTCTCCCCTCCCTCCTTCCTACTGTTTTTAGAGCAGTGATCATGCAGTGCAGTCTTGTTCCACAACTACCACTGGTTTTTTTCATGTGCAGCAGAATCAGTGTCAGGGAGTGTTTAGTCACCTTCCTCCATCACCTCCCATGAGGAGAATTTTGACTTGACAATTGATTTCCGCCATCTTATTGTGTCCTTCTCCCATGGTCTGGAAATGAGCACTGGCATCTCCGGCACAGAATGCCCGGAAGCTGCTTTTGAGTACATCAGCTGTGGCCACACTGCAAGGAGGTACATGAGCATCCCGTTCTGTTCAAAAAGCGTATTCATTTTGAAGGGACTGTCTAGGCTTCTTGGCTTGGACAGCATAGAGCACACTGTTGGCACTTAAATAATAAAAAAATCCCATTTATAACAGGTAGAGAAATGTCACCATAAGAACTCTTCCCCAAGCATAGTTTTAAATTGCATATATTTTTCACTTTAAAAAGTAAACTGATTTAAATTAAATATTAAATTGGAAGAGGTGATAAGGAAAACTTTGATTGGAATTTAAAGCCTAAAACATAGAGGAAAAAAACTTCAATGTGAGTCTGAATCTAATAATTCTAGACTATTAAAGGTAACAGTAGCTAGAGATAGTCACTTTAATTAACTATCTAAACATAATATTTCTTTTTCAGAAACCAAGGTTCTTCTTTTCCTTAGATATCCTGTTCATTTAGGGTAGTTTTGCATAACTGATGAAACACCACAGAAAGCAACTATGTGTGTTTAAACTGAATTAGAATGTTCTGAAAAGTAGAGCTTGATTGATGAAAATCACAAATAAAAAGTAATAAATCTTTAGATGAAATAATCCTGATGACAGAATAAAAATGTAAATATGAGAAGCCTGAATAAATTAATAAAATTTGCACATGTAAGTTGGTTCAATATAACCTCCACATTAACAAAATGAAGTCCTAACTTTAGCACACAGGAAGAACTGGTTACAAAACAGTATGTCTTAACAGTTAGCAATTAGTAAACCCAGCATTCCTTCAGAAGAATAGGTAAATAGTGCATGTATAAAGGACTTAAAATTGATTTCAATCACTTAGATGAAAAACTGTCTGACTTTCCAAAGAAATAAGTTTCTATTGAAGGACTTCTGTCATTGCAATCCATTAAATCAATTCATATCAGCAAGCAGTGGATAATGACTGAGACCTAACACAAAATTCTGGATGCCTTTAAGATTTGTACTAGTTCTGCGTATGAATCAATCTGGTAAATATATAGGGGCTTCTCTGTTCTGTATTACTGAACTACATGTTGAAATTTGTATTTTGAAAGAATCTGAACAACCATTAGAAGGTGATATTGTTTTGGTGAGCTCTTCAAAGAGGAGGCCATATGCTCTCCTTCCATTTTGCAGCATGCCCAGCACACCACAGCATAGAGAACAAACTGCTGTTGTGCTTCTGCATATAGTTAGCTATCAGATGATTTAAAGGCACCTGTCTCCTGTTCAATTTCTCTAATAAATCCAGAGCTCCATATGAGATGTGCCCAATGTGAGTCTGAATAGGACAGGATGCAGTGCTGGCAAAAAGTGATCTCTGTATTTTCTTGATCTTCTGCCGGAATTAGATGGGATGATAATATATCTTCCATATATTATGCTTAATATATCTTCTGTTGCCTATGAATCCAAAGACATTGTGTAGCAACTGATAAAATTATGGAAATAGTTATATGAATACACATATATGGACATACATGGGTACAGTTGTATCCTGGATGGACATGATTATGGCTTGGAAAGCCATGATTATGCCTCTCCTCTCCTCTCCTCTCCTCTCCTCTCCTCTCCTCTCCTCT